CCAGTTGACTCTCCAGGTGAAGATGCAGCTGGCTGGTTCATTAGCAGGGGGTTTTGAAGATGGGATTTTAAGAAAAGGATTGGCAGGTATCTAAACACATATAGATCTAAGCTTTCATAAATGCTTCTCTGCTTTAAGTCTAGAGGAAGAAATTCTACTTGATAAGCCAGTAAGTTCTGCTGAAGTTTTCTTTTAGATTTTGGAGACAAGAATTTAACAACAACTTTGTGATTTGTTACAAGATGTGTTTCAAAGCTGTAAGGTTTTTTTTTCCTAAGAACTACTTGTCTGTAGAAAGCCTTATTTCTCCCCCATCATTTCAACAATGTTTACTTTCTTTCATAAATGAGACCTCTGTGAGACCATCAGCATTGAATGAGATACACATTGAACCATGTTCGGCACCTGGTTTCAATTATTTTAGATTCAAGTGATGATCTAAGAAAGGAGGAGTCTCAGCTGAGTTAGTTTGATTCTTCTAAGGGTTTGGACTCAAAGCACCTGCCCATTTTACCATCCGCCTTCAGATTTAGGTGAGATTAAGAACTTAAGGTAGAGAATCTTTGAGACTGTTACAGAAAATTAAAAAAATCAGGTCTTTGTTCGTTAACCGGTCGGATGGAATTTGGGGGTCAGAAAGAACTAGAATGGTAAATTTAATTGTAACTCAAGTTGCATCCAATATTTAAAGACTACTAAATGTGCACGATACAGTAAAAATTCACACGGTAAGAAATTACTAAATGTTTAGAAATCCAAATTTTCACCTTTTTCTGCTTTTAGTACCCGCTCCCCGGGTGACAAAGTGGACTCAAGTTTCCGTTACCCCTTACCCAACAAGGGGTGGTGGTACTACACGCTTACCTTGGGGAAACAACTTGCACTTTATAACTGGACAGGAAAATCGTTTGGTGAGAGAGAAGACTAAAGGAAACGGAGGGCGGTGGCGTGACCGTAGCACAGGCTCGCGGTTACTCTTGAGGAGACCGCCTCAGCCCCAAACCACCTGGACTACCTAACCGGACCGCTTTTCCCGCCGAGTCTCGCCCTCTGCCCATTGTCACCACAGCCCGCCCACCCGAAGCCGTCGTCGTGGTAACGCTGTTTGGTCCCACCCCATCCCTTCGCCCCGCCCACCTCCTTGTATAGTTATAGCCAGCCGGGCTTCGATTGGTCCATCCGTCCTTCACTCTGGGAGAAGTTCCGGGCTGCGGGACTCTGGAACTCATATTTGAATTTGTGGCGCGGGGAGTTTGTGAGGTGAGGAATGGAGCTGGGCGTCTTGCTGGAGCCGACAAACTCGGTGGTGAGTGACCTTGAGGGGAGAAGGACGATAAGGGCGGCCGAGGTGCAGGGACGCTGAGTCAAACAAGCCGCCTCGAGATGGGGGCTTCAGCCAGGCTGCTTCCCTCCCTGAGGCATCCCCTCTGTTCGCTTCCTCGCAGCCTCTAGGTTCTTCTCTCACGTCGTTTTTCTCGCGTCTCAGAGACAACGCGCCCGCCCCTCTTTTGTCGCTCCTGGAGGGAGGCTCCTCCTGACCCTCCCTTTTCCTCTTCTTTCGCGGTGTCTCTCAGTACCTTCCCTCCCCAGTAGCAATCCTCCGACCCTGCCGTGCTTACACCTCCCCCAGGCGTACTCGACTCCCCCCGACCTCTTCGTAATTATATCCGGCTCTCCATCACCAACACTGTCAGAAACTTTCTACCTGCCCTTGACAGTGTGGAAAAGACTCCTGAGCAACTTGAAGCGCGGTATAAAGCGCTGCAGACATGTAAGCTCTTGTCCCAGTTGTTGACTCGAATATGACGCATAGAAATTTTATACCAATTTCAGGGAGTTTTAAAGTCCACTTTGAAGTATGGATATCCGAAGGACCTCAGTCCAGTTCTAGCGGTTTATTTCTATTTTTTTAAAAAGTAGACGTAGTTAAACAGCCAAAGCAGGTAAGTGTCTTACTTGTAAAAAATGGCCGTCATTTAATTTGAGTTCTTTTAAGATTTGTAGTTCTCAAGGAAGTGGGGATTGAGAAGGTTGAAGCAGTTGTATTAGTGTTGCCAAACCAAACTTGTATTTGCTCCACCGTGCACAGTAAAGCCAATCTACTGACACTGGGTTGAGGTGAAGCAAAGTGCAGCATTTATTGCACGCACCAAACAAGCAGTCAAGGTAGGT